CAAGTCTGCGGAAAGACCTAAGGCAGGTCGTGGTGTGTTGTTATAATAATACATTTCAGGTTAATTTTTTTTTTTTTTTTTCTCCGATGAAGTTGCTAGCGTTACATAGACAAAGTTCTCCTTAGTGTGTGTGCTGTACTTAATAAGACAATTTTCTGTATGTCTCTTAAGCTGGGGTTTCTTCTATCAATGTGTTGTTTTGTTCCATTTTATAATTCCAAGTGCACCTATTACCACTGGTATTATTCTTTGTTTTCAATTTCCACATTTTTTCTATTTCAATTTCCAGGTCTTTGTATTTTTATTATTTTTGTATTATTATTATTATTATTATTATTATTATTTTTATTATTATTATTATTATTATTATTATTGCACTGATGACGTACTGCGTATGGCTCTTATGGTGGATTAGATGATTTATTTTTTTTGAATTTTTTTTTTACTTTTTATTAATTCTTTTTGATTTGTTTGAAGGAATAGCATATTTTCGATTCAAAGAATTTTGGCGAGTGAATATTGCATTAAGAATTTTTAGGGAGATACCATTTTTTCCAGCTACAAGTAATACTATTCAACCCATGGCTGGAGTAGCTTTCATGGCTTCTAATCTTGACCTAGTTGGGGTAGAGTAAATATCCTATACAGTAAAACAGATTTGCTTTGTGACCGTTCATGACAGCATCATAATGAAACATTTGGTTTTCATTGACCGAGCAACCAGTACTGTTTTCGGTTAAAATTTATAAAATATTCGTCTTGCGACAACTTTTTCAGGAAAACAGTTTTCTCAAGTCCAGTAGCTGTTATCGCTCTTTCCATTATTGAAAGAGGTTTATTCCCTAAACTTTATTTTGAAGTAGTGTGGACTGTCAACATCTTGATTATATTATCATTTTCTACTCGTGTTACAAGGATTCATATGTTGGTACTTGAGAACGCCCTGAAGCGGAGATATTGTGAGCGAATTGGTTTCTACTTATGAATACCCCCACTTGTAAGTTTATCCACTGCTTTTACGAAAACCTTTCACCATATCGTTCGCATTTGGCTGTGACGCATGTGCCCGGTATGCACTTATCGGATTGGGTATTATGATGGATATATTGAACTTCTCATATACAGTCTTACATTGTTGACGTGTTTCTCTTTCTCTCAATAATATCAATGGTGATAAACATTGAGAAAATACCAGATAACCTTTCATTACCGGAAAGGCAAAAGAGAGAGAAAAACTTTTCTTCGTCACATGTCTCTGGTAAAAGCCCTGGTTAAGCATTGTATGTAACAGCAAATTAAGAAATCGGGAAACAATCATCATTATTATTATTAATATTATTATTATTATTAGTAGTAGTAGTAGTAATAAAAGCAGCAGTAGTTGTAGTTGTAGTAGTTGTAGCTGTAATATAGTTGTAGCAGCTGTAGTAGTTGTAGTAGAAGTTATAATAGTAGTAGTAGCAGAAGCAGAAGTAGTAGTATTTTTGTAATAGTAGCAATAGTATTTGTAGCAGTAGTAGTTATAGTAGTAGTAGCAGAAGAAGTAGTAGATTTAACAGTAGCAGTAGTAGTACTAGTATTGTTGCAGTAGTAGTAGTAGTTTTAGTAGTAGTAGACGCAGTAGTAGTAGTTTTAGTAGGAGTAGTAGTAGACGCAGTAGTAGTAGTATTTTTAGTAGTAGTGGACGTAGTACTAGTAGTAGCAGCAGGAATAGTTGTATTAGTAGCATTAATAGTAATATAGCAGTAGTAGCAGTAGCAGAAATAGTAGTAGTTGTAGTAATAACATTAGTAGTAGTAATTGTAACAGTAGTAGTAGTAGCAGTTGTAGCATTAGTATTATCAGTTGTAGCAGCATTAATTGTAGTAGAAATAGTAATAGTAGTAGTAGTAGTATGAAAAACCAAAGAAATATTAATTAGTGAAGGATAATGCTTTTAAACAAAACTACAAAAATATTAACAGTTGTCTCATATAATATTAATAACCGGAATAAAAATCCTCACCTCAAATAGCTCGACTTCTTCATTTTCCTAAAGGTTTAAAAAATCAAAGAAAAAGATTTTGCTCACTGTTTGCAATTGTTTGTAATGTCAGCGGTTAATTAATAACAACAGTTTTTCTAATCGATTTAACTTCTTTCTTGTGATTCTAATTTGAACTTTCTTTCGTTTGAGGACTTAACAAGATGAAATGAAGCCACCCCCCCGTCCGTCCGTTGAAATCTTTTGCTACAATTACATACAAAATGCATTAAAGTCGTGATTTCTAATGTTGTTTACTTTCATGTTAAAATGGTTGCATAAAAAAAAAAATGCGTAAAGGAAAGATCATTCGAGAAATGACAGAATGTAAATTGGAGGGGTATGGAAAAAGGAAAGCAAAAACTTAAAAGAGGGGAGGAGGAACAAAGCAGAGGGAAAAAAGAAGAAAAGAAATACGGGTTCGATAAGAGGATAAAGAAGAAATAAATTGACGAATTGACTAGTGATCATTTCCATTGTTTTCATAATCTCTCCGATGTTAAATTGATAGTTTGGCGTTCCTGATTAAATGATCGCTGCAGATTGTCAAACGTTGTGTTTGGCTCTCAAGTTCATGAGGAACTGAAATTCTATCCTTGCACGTTATCTGGATTAAACCCTGAAATGCACATCAAATAACATTCTGTCATATGGAAGAAATTATAAATTAATTATTAATGCACTTTCCAACTATTGAACAATGTTTCTGACAGGGTTTGTTGCCTCATAATTTATAACTGTAAAATACGTTATTACTTTCAAGACACTAAATGCTGTTTTTGCATGTATTTTTTCTGTACGGTTTGAAATAACACGGTCCAACATAAACAACCGATTATTTTTTTGGTATATGCCTATACTTCTCAAGGACACATGGCATAGTGGATAAAGGCGTTGGTAAAATCCAGTGACGGGATCCTTAGAATGTGAGTTCAATACCCGGTTAAGGCAGTGGAGAACTTTCAGAGGGAAATTAACAGGATATAACTGATAACTGACATCCATTAAACATGACACGTGGAACTAGAACAGTCTACCCCAGTGAGAGAAATAAAGGGTTCAGTTCGACATTCCAACCACCGGAAGAAGACAGGAGCGTACAACTGCCGAAACGTTATGATATAGCGACAAAGATGAGTACAATAGTCCAAATAATGTAAATAATATTTTTTTGGTACTATTTTTTTTAACACACTTTAAATATCTATCCGCGTCAGTCAGTTATGTGCCATGCGTGATATACGCTTATGCGATCATGTATCTTTCGATACATGACTGACGAGGCAGATTTTTTTTTCCTGCAGTAGGTTGCCATTTCTTTCTGTGGTAAACTAGTTGCCATTCAAGGCTACAGAATCCGGCCTGTCTTGCTATTTAGCCATAGCTGGTGGGGGAGAAGAAGAGAATTCATACCTTTCCCAATGGATTCGACTGGAATTCGAACTCGGCTCTCCGATTCCTCAATCCAAGCCGCTATCTATTACTCCACCGTGCCTCCTTTTAAATATCTGTCCTCGTACGAACACCGAATTTATTGCAAGTGGCAAGGAAAGGATTAAGTAACAGCAATGAATCATAATTTACAAAATGCCGAAAATATACGTAACATGATTAAGTAACAATTTAGATACGTAATTATAGACTCCAATCTATTTGTTTCCGTATAGTGATCCCTCACTCTCCGGTGTGGGCGGAACCTATCCGCTGTACATACCTCTGACTGCGTGTAACCGCTCCATCAGATGGCGCGAGGCGGCAGTCGTTAGCATCTAGTAGATCTCCAACTAGCCAATAAACTTTTCTTACAAATGATAACAATGCTGAACGAATTGTGCAATTCCAACGTGATTTCAAAATGATTATGGCACGTTATGAAGAATCATATAAAGAACTAACAAAAAAAATCACAGCGTCTCATATCAGAATGTGTATTCAAAACCAGTGAAATAAAAGAAACACAATGCAATGACAAAAGTACGCAGGTGTATGCTTTAAGAAAGCTTTATTCAACTCACAATACAAGGTTCGCGTATAGTGTCCTTTTATAGTCCCAGTAAACATAAATAGCTCTCTCAAAGAGGAGAGGATCAAAACAAGGGGTGACCACTCTTGATTATTCATAATACACAAGATGTTAATTTTAATTTTATTCAAGATACACATGAAGATATATCGCTATTAAATATTTCCAGTGACAACAGCCACTTTGCACCACCGAAAAACAACAGAAAGCGGGCACGTTTATTGTCTAGTAGTGACACTGAATGACTAAATGATGATGTTACACACACACACAGAGACACACACAGACACACACACACACACACATATATATATATATATATATATATATATATATATATATATATATATATATATATATATATATATATATAGATAGAAAAAAAATTCAATGAAAACAGACAATTTTAAGGCTCCATTGTTTATAACTTAGAGAATTTATTTTTCCCTGACTCATCAGACCACACTTTCAATTCGGAAAAATGAATTTAAATTTATATATTTTTTATACACTTAATAATACCACTCAAAAGTGTATAAAAATATATGTAAATTTAAATTGATTTTTTACATCCTTGGAAGTGTGGTCTGATGAGCCAGGGAAAAAGAAATTCCCTGGGGAAATAAATTATAACCCTGGATCCTTAAAGCTGTTTGTTTTCATTAAATTTAATTAATCGTTTGATTTAACATTGAGCTCTCCGGATTTCATACTCCTTGGGATTATCCATACAGATTATCAAGATTTCCATTGCTTATATATGTATTTTAAGACATGTTTTATGTTTATACGTTATTTTTATAGATACAAATATTTAAGTAAATGCTCTGTTTATATTTACCGGCTTGAATGTCCAAGAAATCTTCATAGAAAATATGCGTCCTCCGACAGGAATCGAACCTGTAACCTATACGGAACCGTCATATAGCCTGACTTGCTTTTACCGATTTAGCCACAGAGGAACATCGGTCAGATATGAATGTACGGGAGAAAATCATGGAGAATTGTAGTTTAAAAACAGTAAAATCGACCTTGCTAACCGAAACGCTCCCCTGTGGCTAAATCAGTAAAGCACGTTAGTCTATATGACGGTTCCGTGTAGGATACGGGTTCGATTCCAGTCGGAGGACGCATATTTTCTATGAAATTTTTTCGGATATTCAGACCGGTAAATGTCGTTAAAACTGTTTATTATAAACAGAGCATTTACTTAAATATTTGTAATTAGAAAAAGAAAAGTTTTTAAGTGAGAAAGATTTTACAAACTTCAATCAAAAACAGTACTGGTTAATCGGTGTATGAATGGTGTTGAAGGTATGAATCTATCTCTTCTCCCCCCCACCATCAGCTATGTGTTGAGTAGCAGAAGAGACAGGGTTATATAGTCTTGGTTGGCATTACTGCAGAAATAAATGGCAACCTACTGCAGGAAAATCTTCTGCCTAGTCAGTCATGTATGAAAGCAATGGACACTTTCATTAACCCTCTACCATGAGTGGCTCTTACGCCTTGTATAGGATGAACATTAGTAAAAAAAGAAAAGAAAAAGTAATATACAAAGGGGGTGTGCAGTGTGATGTAATGAATAACAACTTGGAATAAGAAATTGGAATGCGACATTCAAATTCCTGTTGGGTTTGTTATAATCATTTACACACAAAACCCTTGAAAAAGGTATGAATCCATTTCTTCTCCCCCCCCCGAATATAGGGAAACAGCTAATATTGCCATTACCATTCGGGAATTTATATTTGTCTATATTTCTAAGATGAGGTATTGTAATTATTTAGAATATTTACGTAGTTCGTTGCCATATTCACAAAGTTTCGGCCGTTGTACGCCCCGGTCTTCTTCAGGGGATTGTAATTTCAAAGTGAACACTTTATTTCGCCCGATGTTCTACTTTCGCATGCCATGCCTCACGGACACATGGCGCAGTGGATAAAAACCACTGGTTGAATCCTGTGACTTGAGTTGCGAGTTCAATACCTGAGGTGAACAAAATCTTGGAGAGTTGAGTTAAAGGGAGATAACTGATACGGAGATACCCGGAAGAGGCATGGCACGTGGAACTAGAACAGTCTATCCCGGGTGGACGAAATAATTTATTTCAGTTCAACATTCCAATCACCTGAAGAAAGTCGGAGCATACAACGGCCGAAACGTCGTGAATATGTCAACGAAGATGAGGACAATAGTGTAGAGAATTTATATCTGACAAGGGTATTTCAAAACATGATTCGGATTCTGAGGTTAATATTTGGAGTTTTGTGACATTTTGTAATGTTAGGCAAAAAGCTCGCCTATCAAAGGAAAGGGAGAAACCTTGTGAATATCGAGAGAAAGAAAGAAATAAAAAGATGAAGAAGCAGCCGACAATGGTAAGAGGGAATTAGAAAAGGGATAGGAATGAAAAGATATAAGTGAATTGTGAGATGATAAAACCGGCAGCGATAACAGGAAATTTCTGAAAACTAAAGGAGTCCAATTATTCGTTTAGTGTGAATAAAGCTGAAAATCGGCTGCGACCCTCCTGTTAAAAGATGAAACACTACGGAACATCCGATTTCTTCTGGGATTTAACCTTCAACGTATACCACAGCACGCCGTTTTTATTCATTTACCGGCAAAACGCAAGGGGACAGATAAAATTCACTTCAAGCCAATTTATTATACAAAGCGCAAACGCACAACGCTGTAAGGTGCATAGTGTTAATATCCTAATGCTCGTCTTTATTACTCAATTGTTTGAGTTGATGAATAAACAACAGTAGACCTTGGAGGAATAGATGTTTACGAGTGGTTCACTTCTACAATGGGCATAAGAAATCATTATTTGTTATGCTCATTGTAGAACTGAACATTTAAGAAATACAGCGAAAATACCATACGAAAATTTTACATTTGTCTCTATTTCTGAGATGAGGTATTGCAACTATTTAGAATATTTACATCGTTCGGCTGTTCTCCTCAACTTCGTTGCTATATTCACAAAGTTTCGGCCTTTGTACGCTTCGACCTTCTTCAGCTTATTGGAATTTCAAAGTGAACCCTTTATTTCGTCCACCGTTCTAGTTTCACGTGTCATGCCACATGGAAACATCACATGGCGCAGTGGATAAAAACCACTGGTTGAATCCTGTGATTTGAGTTGTGTGTTCAATAGCTGCCTACAGCTGAGGTTAAAAAAAAAAGCTTGGAGAGGTGAGTTAAAGGGAGATAACTGATACTAAGAGATCCGGAAGAGGCATGGCACTTGGAACTAGAACAATCTATTCAGGCGGACGAAATAATTTAAGGTGCATGGTGTTAATATCGTAATGCTTGTCTTTATTACTCAATTGTTTGAGTCGATGAATAAACAAATTGGAGGAATAGATGTTTACGAGTGGTTCAGTTCTACAATAGACATAAGAAATCCTTATTTCTTAAACTCATTGTACAACTGAACATT